TGAATTCGGTCTCCAAGGAATGACAAACGCAATAATTAAATATAAGAAATAAAATGTATTTACACAATCATACAAAGAGTAATACTGTTAGTAAATCCAGGAACGAGGTTAGTAGCAAATGCAGATAGATATATACAGTGTCGAAGTAGGACTTCCTTAGAGTCTACGTGCTTGTAACTGACTTCTACCAGAGGTTACCTCACTCTATCTCCGTTCGTATATTCCCTCTCACTGACTGTCTTACTCTGGGTATTTAACGGCAGCACTCCAAGTAACACTGGTAGAGTCCACTTATATGAAAAGAGGAGGACCCCATAACACATATATATATATATATAATTTTGTTTGCTTTCGTTTGGTTTGTTTTACGGCATATCAACCACAATGGATTATTTAATGCCGTCAAGATTTTTATTGCTGGTAATATTTTTTCCCAAAACGTGTACTGGTAGTATTTTTTCAAAAAATATATTGCTGCTAATATTTCTTTTTTCAAAATGTATTGCTGTTGATATATTTTTCTAAAAAGTATTGCTGGTACTAATGTATCGCGGATAATAATGTATTGCTGGTAATAATTGTTACAAAAATATATTACTTGTATTAAAACCTACATTTTTTTCTCAGTTTGGTGGTTAAATATCCGCCCATAGCTGGGACACCTAACAGGTGCCACCACCCCAGATCAAAGTGGACCTGGGAACACCATTAATTGAAGTGGTTCCACACTCCTGAAAATTTCCTTATCGGACGCCTTGCTGTTGGACGGAGTATATCGTCTTACCCAGGACGCGGATGAAGTTTATTGTCATATCCAGGACGGATATAGTTTTGTAGATGATCTGTTTTAAGTGTTATATGTGGTGGTATAAACCTGTTTCTTTAAGCTAGAACATGATGTTGATGGTTTCAATATTTTCAAAGAGTTTTTTTTTTTTTCGCTTTGATTTCTTTTTAGTATTTATGTCTTAAAGGTGCTAAGTACAGGGTAGTCCAAAAGTCATGTCATCCCCTACATCTTTTCCAAACTGTCATGTCAGCCATCTGAAATAGAAAATTATATTATGTATGGGTGACAAAACATTCGGACCAGCCTTTACATTCAATTAAATTGTGGGAAGCTATGATCGGCAATGAGTGACGCTAACGACGGCAATGAAATAATTTAAACCTTTTTATTGCAAACTATTTTATAATAGATTCCATACTTTTATTAATATATAGTGCATTTTTATAACGTAATAAGGCTTAGTTTGTTTGATCTTGTTTAACGGCATAACAACCTCTTTTTGTTTATTTCATGCCGAAATCTAAATATTTTAAACGCAATTGTATGCCTTCAACTACATATATTTTCTACATAATTTGATAGTTTCAGATTTAACGTTTGTCTTTTTTAGATATGTGGATATACATGTGTGACGTCGTCCCCTGGTCGCAGCGCCAACTGTGACGTTCAATCCTGATCTACCACGGCACCAGTTGTGACGTCCCCAAACAGCACCAATTGTGACGTCTTCGCCGCGGCGCCAGCTGTTCGCTCCTCGCTGCTCCGTTCGGGTGTCGCTGCTCCAAACGTGACGTCCGCCTGTCGCGTCAGTCGTGTTGTCTCGTCCTGTGACGACCAACTGGCTTGGTATCGGTCGCGGCACCCAAATGTGACGTTCTAACCTTTTGGTGATTCGGGTGGGAATCTGGTTAGATTTAATATCAGCCTCGTCTTTCCCAACTCGCTTCCAACGCCTGGTTACCAAGGTAACTGCATTGATCTCCAGTCTGCCTACCCACGTTGTGAATTGATCTTAGGCAGACGAGATCAATCAGTAGTCGGGGCCGTAATGCAAACTGAGTTCAACGGGGGTGATACCACACAAATATGCATAAAAGAAAATAAAATGAAAACTCAAAAGTTCAAAGTATCAAAGAAAAAAGTAACAAACTTTATGTCTAGTTGTTCGATACATAGGGCTGCATCTATCTCCCGACCCGTTCTGTGGATTGTGACACGTCGTTTTCCGTTAGGCAAGTTTTAACGCTTCAAGTTGTTTGATCTCTAAGAAATTGGTGTTTCGGTGTGTCTTTGGACAAAAGTCGAAAAAACTTATTTCGGTGGTCTGGATCTAAGTCGCTCTTCAAAATAATTGTTCTTGGGTTGAAGAGGAGTCCGGAATTTGCGTGAATCTTGGTCAGCTGAACTCACTGGAACAGCTGGAACTCAACTCTGGAAACTGCTGGAGCCCGAACTGATTTCTGCTCGTAGGGGCTTCGCTTTTATGGACGCCGACCAAAACCGGGGTAG